TTAGACTATAAATTAAAATCTATGCAGATCCAAATCACTCCACTTATACAAATCTGCATCACGCCATTTATGCAAATCCTGATCCATAGTACCACGAAATCACAGAGTACCAAAATTCACCATAATACAAGCTAGATCCCCAGAACTTCGTCCTCGAAGTTTTAACCCTTGCAAAACCCTACCATTAATACAAAATATTCTATTTACAATACTTTACTCAACTACCAAACCTAATGCTATCTAAATACACTAATAAATGCAATACATTGTTCAATTAATACATAAATTTTTTTTTTTTTTTTTTCAAATATTTCCACAGCATTACCATACTCGCAAGTCCAAACGTTCAAGCTTGCGCATTTTGATCCGGTTTCCAAACAGTGCATGTTTTAACCCATCATATTCGATTACATGATCCAGGTAAAGTTGGCTATAAAATTCTCTTTTCTTTATTTGATTCAACGCATTCAATACTATCATTGAATTTTTAGCACAAGGTTTTTGTACCTTAGACATGCCACTTTTATCCCATTCACGCCTAACATTACAACAGAACCTAGACAATAGTCCATAATTCAAACCCTTTCTCACTTTTATATCTCCAATTGGACCTTTGACCACATCACTAACTTGGGGTTTTTTCACTTCAGGATCACAACTTGGTTTATTTTCGCTAATTTCAGCACCAGATCATTTATCATCGGCCTCAACTTGACCATCATATTCAAGACTACATTGTCCATTTAAATTACCACCTTTAGCACTTTTCAAGTACCATTCATATACTTTCCTTTCTTCTTTGGAAATGTCTATGCCTTTTTCATAGCATAATTCAACATCGGGTCTCCTATTTGGACTTCCACTTTTAGCAGAATCCAAATACCATTTGAACATCACTTCTTCATCTTTTTTAACACCACTTTGATCATAATGGTGATAGCCTTCACTAGACGTTACATCAGCATGACTGATGCTCACATCCCAAAACCATCGAAGCATATCTGTCTCACTTTCAGAAGTAGCAGACTTCTGATCTTCAGATTCATCAACGTCAGTTCTATTGGTTTTACTATTATCAATGGCTCTTTGATAATAGTATAATGCTTTACTTTCATTATTACTAACATTTTTAGGAGAATTAACCTTATTATCATAGTTCAGGGCTGTTTTATTGCTGCTCATAGGTATATATTCATCATGTTTCACTTCAAACATTTCTTCCTTTTCATTTTTATTAATAGTCGCATTTCCTTTCACATTCTCTTTTATTGTATCATCATCTATTTTACATACATCGACCTTACTATTTTCATTGCTCGGATCATTACTGAAAAGTCTTTATCAGCAATTTCAACAAACCTTTCATCATAGCATCTATTTGTATAACCACAGCCAATAGTGCTTTTATCAATACAACTGTTCCATCTTCAACGACTTCACTACCAAATTCACCAACAAGTCCTCTTTCTCGGGTCTTTTCATCTTTTGGATGAGATACATCAATTGCGATTTCATTTTCGTAACAATAACTAGCCATATATGTTTTATCACTATGACTCTTGTCTGCAGGTTTTTGATAATGCTTGAACTCCTTTCTTTCATTCTCTTTGTTGAATCTTTCAGGTTTGTCGATTCCTTTTGTTCGTTCTTTTGTTATTGCATTACTTTGACCGCTCATACTAACACTTACCCTT